ACAGTAACCCAGAATTGCACTAAAAACAGCAGTGTCACTGGATTTTCAGCATGGAAACCAAAGTCAAAGAAGCAGGAGAGGGAAAAGTCAGGTTGTCTCATCTCAAAAGTAGCATTTCCAAGTGGACAGACTATTAGACTGCAGCCTTACTTTGCCTATCAGAAAGCATTAAGCCCTACAATTCCAGCCAATTTTCACTCACAGGAAGCAGTAAAGGTTGAAGTAGAGGGCTTTTCCACTAGAAAGAGCTTCTAGAATTATCAAATGAAGAGGAGAAATAAGAACAAAAATTCGGTCATTTCAATTCTGTTTGAACAGCATAGGAGCTTCTGACAATTTTCTAAAGAGGCTGCCAGTATTAGGGACAAGTCAGACTCTCAACTTGGATATAGCTAATGTCGTTCACTTGTTTAAGTGCATGAGGTTTTTGTTGTAGTCACTGTTGCATTTTTCTTTTGTTTCTTTAATTTTACCTTTCAGAAACAACCTAGACTTGTTAAAGAATCTCTTCAGAGGACATTTTAGGATTGTTAGAACATTTTGACAACAGTAAGACTAGATTCTGGAAAAACGGCCAGTGAGAAATTGATCAAAACTGATTACTGAAAGCTTGCTCTGTCTCCTTCCCATCTGAAAAGATTAGCTAGCCCCATCCCAAGATTTCTTACCACTTCTAGTTTCCGTTCTCCACCCTAGATTCAGGAGAACATGCATTTTCTATCACAATTGCATGGATTACTCTAATCAAATGAAATGAACTTTGCTTTATGCAGAGCCTTGGAAGTGCATCCGTCCATAGAAAGCAGGCAGAATTAATACGAGAATTGCTTGCAGAATTACAGCAGTGCCAGCACTCCAAAATCAAACACAGAATTGATGCGATATTCTGCTGTCACAAACCTCATGATATAGCCACCCTTCCACCACATAAAGGGTAACAGCATTCTAATTAAGAACTCAGGCCTTATGTTCAACAGAAGCAAACTAATGAATTGACTATGAAGATGCCATAAAGTGGGATGTGACTACGATATTTTGCCTCATGTATAACCTAGTGTCAGTAAACAATTTGTTTAATGTAGAAGTCACGTGGTGCAGGCTGCAGAGGATTTATAGCTGCTTGCATTTTAGAACTGTTGTGCCTCAACAGAATAACTATCTCACTGGCTATCATACAAGCCTGCGATACTGCTGCTGGAACCATAAACATATTCTCATTAGTGGCCCATGGCAATTTATATCAGAGAATAGCTTGTGTCACACCACAGACTGAAGAGCTGCTGCTGTGCAGCCAAATGTTAGCTTTTTTAAACAGATCTGTAACAATCTGGCTACTTTGTCATAACAAAAAACCTTCTCTGTGTAAAGACTGATACACAGGTATCCATTTTTATCTACGGTTTACAGAATCAAAGGTTCAAATTCCCACCGGTATCCTAAAGATAACTTGGAAAATTCCTAAATAATGCTTTGGATGCCTCCTGCCTGAGTTATCTGAATTTTGCTATACCTATTGTTCCTGAAGTAGCATTTAATAGCAACACAGGAGAGAAAAAAAAAAAAAAAGAAAAAAAAAAAAAACAACCAGAAAATTGGAAGCCTGTATCTACTTCCAAAGTTGAAGATAATTGGGCACAAAATATATTTCAAACTGCTTTTCAGTCTTCTCGAAAGAAGACAAAACTAGGTCTGTCATAAGGATTTTCCCAACAATGCCTTATTATTGTGGAATAAACACTTAGGAGAAGCCCTGGCCTAACTCTTACGGAACGTTTTGCTAAAGGAGGGGTCCGTAGTGAAGGACAGGCAGCTCTTCCTTGTCAGAAGTGAGAAATTAGTTTAATACACTGCACAAAAGAAAAACAGAAGGGAAGGAGAGATCCCCTCATTAAATGCTCACCATTTGAGCCCTGCTTAATATGTTGACTGATAACTAGTGTACGCAATTGCAACAAGCAGAGGCCATTCCAAACAATGATGCCCATCTGTTATGGTAGCACGTTAGTCTTAGAACTTCCAGCTGCCACTTCTGGTTAGATGTGCGACATTATGCATAGTCTCGCGTACCAAATGAGTGCAGTCTGTACTCCCTGATCATGACTTTTGCAGCTTAAGTATCACCCTGCATGTGCATTAACTGGCTGAAGTCCTCGCAACAGAGTGAGTGAGCATGTGCGTGCATATGCACAGGAGAGAATCAAAAAGAAGAATAAATCTACTTCCGAGAGGCTAATTTTGCTCTTTTATTTAGAGCAAGCATCGCAATGCACAAAGGCATCTTGCTTTCAATACCATAATACCAACAAAGCATCCAATACAAATACCACTAGCACGTCAAGTTTGAAGAACATAGAAACAGCACTAAGAAGTTTAGGGGATGCTGCTGGACTTCATTCTGACTTTGTAACTTGGGTCATGCCAAGTGTCCTGTTTGGAAACTGGCACTGGGCACTGCTAACCCCAGCAAGTGACCTCATTTGTTCTTTGGCCTACAGCATGAATGGCTTTTTTAAAAAAAAATCATCCCTTTCATCTGCAGAAGCACGAAGCCTACTTCACCACCACAGTAGTATCTAATAATATAAACTTCAAAGTTCTGATCTGGAAATTCAAGTTTCCATCCTCCATCTAATAAAAACGCTTGCCAATGAACAGAGCTAACCAAAAGGAACAAGTGATCCTTCCTCCCTCCTGGTTATACATAAACATAGACAGGGTTACAAAGAGATCCATCTCAAAACTCAGTTCTGTTTGCGTGCCAAAGGGCCGCATGCTTTGGCCTGCAGGATACAGCACATAAGTGAACCACTGAACTCCTACAAGGCTCCCGGTACGCCTGTGTGGAAAACTAAGCGTGTATGAAGGCTTCTGTAGGGCACAGCCTGGCAACCTCAGGACATTCAGGTACACTGAAGCATTCACGTAATGGTTTAGGCCAATGTAGGCTTCGTCTCTTGCAAAGGCTCCAAAGCAGGCTGTGCCACCGAGGTGGTTTGTGGTCTTCACAAACAGCCTGGGCTGATGGCCCCCTCAGCCACCACCACGCAGCATGTGGTTACTGCATATCTGTGGGATTGTGTTTGCAATACCAGCGTCCTGCAACAACAGGCTAGTAAGATGAAAGGAACGTGATCTAAGGCCATATTTGTTACCTGGTTTTCGTATTGCTTTTTCCTACTCATTTCAATTTTGGCCATTTCTTCGTCGGGATCCTGGAGGAACTAACAAAAAGAAACGCAGCAATTTAGGGGCAGGGGCTGCGGTTCAGCGCACCGCTCAGCCCCACGCCGTGCTTGAGCCCCGCCGGTCCCCGCGCCGTGACAGCCCCCCGCCCGCGTCCCGCGCCGCACATGGCCACCCCTCCACCCCCAACAAAAGGCCGCGGGAGCAGCGCCGGAGCGCCGGGCCCGCACCGCCCGGCAGGCCGTGCCGTGCCGCCTGCCGGGCCTGCACTCACCGTGGCCACATCGGCTTTCCTCTTGCGGGCCCGCACGGCCCCCTCGGCGCCCCCTTCCCCCTTGGCGGGAGCCCTCTCTTCCGCGCAGTCGCTGCCAAGAAAGGAGAAGCGTGAGGACCGGCCCTCGGGGAGCGTCCCCCGGCCTCACTAACGGAGAGCCGGCCCACCCGCGCGGCCGGACTCACCTCTCCCGCCGCATGCTGCCCGCGGGCACGAGCGGCAGCCGAGGGCCGCAGTCCCCACAAAGAGCCGCGAGGCGCGGAAAGGCCCCGCCGCCCCCCGCCCCACGCCGCGCCCCGGGACCGCGCGCTCTCGCACCCCGGAGCTCCCCGGCCAGAGCGCGGGCGCGGCGCTC